ACATTCAGGAGAGGGAGGGTGAAGGTGCCATGGTGTAAGGAACAGATGGACAAGTTCAAAGCTGGCCAGGACTCCAGGAGGAGCTCTAGGCTCCTGGCCTGGCCAATAGTGGAGTTCTGAACCCAGTGGCGCCGCCTCGTGTCTGCTGCTGGCCTGACCTCTGCACCTCACCTGTGAGCTCATCCTTGCCCTGTGCCCTGTGAATCTTCACTGTGAACTCCCTGCCCGCTGAGCCAAACCAGCTAGGGCTGGACTTACCTTTTTTTTTTTTTAAATTAAATCTTTATTGTTCAGATTATTACAGTTGTTCCTCTTTCTTCCCCCCATAACTCCCCTCCTCCCAGTTCCCACCCCACCCTCTGCCCTCACTCCCCACCCACTGTCCTCATCCATAGGTGCACGATTTTTGTCCAGTCTCTTCCCGCATTTCCCACTCCCTTCCCCCCCCCAAGAATAGTCAGTCCATTCCCTTTCTATGTCCCTGATTCATTATTATCACCAGTTCATTCTGTACATCAGATTATTTATTCACTTGATTCTTAGATTCACTTGTTGATAGATGCATGTTTGTTGTTCATAATTTGTATCTTTACCTTTTTCTTCTTCTTCCTCTTCTTAAAGGATACCTTTCAGCATTTCATATAATACTGGTTTGGTGGTGATGAACTCCTTTAGCTTTTTCTTATCTGTGAAGCTCTTTATCTGGCCTTCACTTCTGAATGATAGCTTTGCTGGATAAAGTAGTCTTGGTTGTAGGTTCTTGGTATTCATCACTTTGAATATTTCTTGCCACTCCCTTCTGGCCTGCAAAGTTTCTGTTGAGAAATCAGCTGACATTCGTATGGGTACTCCCTTGTAGGTAACTGATTTTCTTTCTCTTGCTGCTTTTAGGATTCTCTCTTTGTCTTTTGCTCTTGGCATTTTAATTATGATGTGTCTTGGTATGGTCCTCTTTGGATTCCTTTTGTTTGAGGTTCTCTGCGCTTCCTGGACTTGGAAGTCTATTTCTTTCACCAGGTAGGGGAAGTTTTCTGTCATTATTTCTTCAAATAGGTTTTCAATATCTTGCTCTCTCTCTTCTTCTGGCACCCCTATAATTCGGATGTTGGTACGCTTGAAGCTGTCCCAGAGCTCCTTACACTATCTTCGTATTTTTGGATTCTTTTTTCATTTTGCTTTTCCGGTTGGGTGTTTTTTGCTTCTTCGTATTTCAAATCTTTGGCTTGATTCTTGCGATCCTCTGGTCTGCTGTTGGGAGTCTGTATAATATTCTTTATTTCAGTTGGTGTATGCTTAATTTCTAGTTGGTTCTTTATCACAACATCGAGGGTTTCACTAGATTTCTTGAAGATCTCACTACATTTATCGGCGGTCTCACGAGTCTTCTTGAAGATCTCACTACATTTATCGGCGGTCTCACCAGTCTTTTCGAGGGCCTTACTAAATTTATCAGCGGCTTCTAGACAGTTCTTGAGAGACCTTAAAAGTGTGGTTTTGAACTCTATATCCAGCAGTTTGCTTTCCTCCATTTCTGTCGTTTGCATCCTGTTTCTTTGTCTCGGCATTTTTTATTCTTCGCTGTGTCGATAGAGTGCCTTTCTGTGCTAAGTGTCCCGATTACCTGAGGTAGACACTCTTGGTGCACCCCCTTGTGGGCTTTGTGCACAGTCTTGTTGTAATTAAGCCTTGATTGTTGTAGTTATCACTGGGAGGAATTGACCTCCAGGCCAATTGGCTGTGAGAATCACCTGTGTCTGCAGTGGGAGAACTTCTGTGGTGGAGACACCCCTCTGGGGCTAGACTTGCTTCGATGGGGCTTTGGTGCTCACTCACAAGCCCATTATTTTTGAGGACGTGGTCTGAAATGGCACACATCACTTCTGTTCATATACTATAGACTACAGTTAGTCAAATGGCCAACTCTGGCTGGAAGAGGGGTGTCTGAGAAATGTATTTTCTGTTTAAATATGTGTCTGTTTGAGTCTTTGTTATTATTTTAGCATCACATTTATTGTACTTTGGGAGTAAGATGAGATAAAAGAGTAGGTTCTTTTCTCCATCTCAAACCAGAAGCTTGATCACGTGTTTTTCCCCTCAAATCAGATGTGTGTTTTTTTATTTCTAAGGTTTTATTTCTTTTTTCTTTTAAAAATCTCTCATTTTAAAAATTTACCTTTATTTTTGTATGTATTACAGATGTCCCCTTTGATTGGCTCCTACCCAATTGAAGCCAAGATAACATAGGAGGAGGTACTTTTGTGAGGCATGCCCATAGGAGCTAAGATAGCAACCATAAAGGGGAGGTACCAAGGCTGGGAAAGTGATCAGATTCAATAAGGAACTCAGAACCCAGATGATCTAGTAAATGGATTGGTTATAGAGAGAAACCAAAAGAAGTCAGAAAGGATTGGGAAGTTGAGTGGTTGGTTTGAAAGGGCACCTGGTTCTTAGCAAGCCTGGGATACTACAATGGAATTCAACAGTGTATACAGTGGCAAATTGGGTGTAACTCAAGAATGCAAAATTGGTTTAAGACTGAACACTTTATATAAATGAGTGCACTGACACAAACAAATAACAACACACTATATTTGGAGAATAACAAGCTGATTTTAATATGTATATGAAAGGTCCTAAGTCCAAGAAAAGCTGTCACCTCTAAAAGCCAAATTGATGGATCTATGCTACAAAATAGTAGGTGATTTTAATTATAAAGTTGTAATTTTGTCAGTATGATATAGTATAAGACAGACACATTAATGAAAACATTGAATAGAAATATCAAAAATATTTCCATTCTGATTTGGCAAAGTGATATATGCTAGCATTATAGATCAGTGAGAGAGGATGGGCTCTTAAATAAACTGTGCTGGTATAATAGATTTTCCAAAAGAAAAAAAAATGGAATTGAATATTCATCTCACACGATATTAACAAATCTATCTCAAAATGATTATATAATAAATGAAAAGGACAAATTTTCTAGAGATAGGAGAATCTACAAGAGTGAATAGTTGATCTCTTTAAGGAATGTGTTTTCAAGTTAAAGGCCATTCTGTTAGATGACCTGGAAGTGGGACAGTGCCTCAGGCTAGTCATATATTCAGGGAGGGAACTCAGATAGAAAAGAAAATAGAACCATAGCAACTCAGATCCAGGAAAACATAAAACTCAAAAGGAAAATGTTAACCCTAGTATTGGCCTGTGGTCTTTGAAAAGCCATTATACTGGGGCTCAGACAGCAACACTGTTCTCTATGCAGCTCGGCTTCAGGTATTCATAGGGAATGTCTAGCTGCTCATTCCGGGCCACTATCTCCCTTTCCAGGTTGTCCAGATCTGCTTGAAATTGTCTTAAAATAGCCTTGGGCTCAGGGCCTGAGAAATATTCTTCTGTGTGATACCCCAGGGGCACCTGAAGCAGAAAAGAAGGATTGATCAGATTCTAGTTCCAAGACACAGGAATCAGAGTTCAGCCCCACACTGCAATTTCTTTTCCATTATCACTGCCCCAGAATTCCCCAAATCCCCTCTTACCATGTCTGGTTGCTGCCGGCCCAGTTGCCTCATCAAAAGCATCTGAAGACAGCTCTGCCGGACATCTGGGAGTGAGCCCATCACTGTGGCCATTGTCACATCTTCCTTGGTGGTAGGAGGGGGCATCCGCATTGTGCATGGGGCATTAGGGACCCAGAAAAACCAGTCATGCTGAGGGGGGGAAGAATATGGAGTCAACCAGACACTCTGATATGCAGGGCTCTGGCTCCCAACCCTTTCCTTAGAGCATACCCTTGTCCAAGTACTTTCCTTCAGGGACCCAGGCTCTCAGTTGTCCATACCTGGCTGAAGTTGACTGCTGCATGCTGGGCAGTGCATCTGAAAATGCACATGGTAAGGAAATGGCAGAGCTGAGCCTGAGACTGGAAGGAGACAGGAAAACCTAGGAGAAGAAATACCAAAGTTTAGAAACTGCAATCCCTGAAAAAGATAAGGAAATAAGTGCTAATGTCTGGAGATTATGTTATCATTAGTGTGCATTCATTCATTCATTCATTCATATAAATATATACTGCATCAAAAAGAATAAAATAGCTAGAAATATATTGAACCAAGGAGGTGAAATACCTGTACAGTGAAAACCATAAGACATTGAAGAAAGAAATTGAAGATAAATAAATGGAAAGATATTCTATTATCATGGATTGGAAGAATTAATATTATAAAATGTCCATACTACCCAAGGCAACATATACATTCAATGCAATCCCTATGAATTTCCAATTGCATTCTTCAAAGAAATAGAGTAAATCAATCTACAATTTATGGAATCAGTAAAGACCACAAATAGCCACAGAAATCTTGAGAGAGAAGAACAGAGTTCAAGGCATCCTCATCCTGTTTCCTGATTTCAAACTGTATAACAAAGCAAAATTAATCAAATCAGTATGGTGTTGGGCATACAGCAGACACATAGGTCAATGGAACAGAAAAGTGAGCCCAAAAAGGGAGCCAGGAATATACAATGGGGAGAGGACAATGTCTTCAATAAATGGTGTTGGGAAAACTGGCAGCCACATGCAAAAGAATGAAACTGGACTGCTATTTTATACCACACACACAAATTAAGGAAAAATTAATTAAAGTCCTGAAACCATAATACTCCTAGATAAAAACATCAGTCTTGGTGATGACGTTTGGATTTGCATAAGCAAAGGCAACAAAAGCAAAAACACACAAATGGAACTACATCAGGCTAAACAACTTCTGCACAGCAAAGGAAATTATCAATGAAATAAAAAGGCAACCTACCGAATGGGAGAAAGTATTTGCAAACCACATATATAATAAGGTTAATATCCACAATATGTAAAGAACTAATACAACTCAATAGCATCATAAACCAGAAGTCCAATTAAAAAATGGACAGAAGATCTGAATAGACATTTTCCCAAAGACTCACAGATGGCCAACAGGTACATGAAAAAATGCTCAACATCATTAATCATCAGGGAAATGTAAGTCAAAATCATAATGCAATGTCAACTCACACCTGTTAGAATGACTATTATAAAAAGACAAGGAATAACAAGTATTGGCAAGGCTGTGGAGAAAAGAGAAACCTTGTGCATTGTTCATGGGAATATAAATTGGTGAAGCCACTATGGAAACCAGTATGGGAATTCTTTAAAAAAAAATTAAATATAGAATTACTGTTAGATCCAGCAAATACACTTCTGGATATTTATCCAAAGGAAACAAAAACACTGACTTGAAAAGACATCTGCACCCCAAGTTCATTGCAGCATTATTTACCATAGCCAAGACATGGAAGCAACCACCATTGTTGGTATGGCTCAATTGGTTGGGCATTGTCCTGTGTATCAAAAGGTTGGTGATTCAATTCCAGGTCAGTGCACATACCAGGTTATGGATGGCTGGCTCCATCCCCAGTAGGGGGCATGCAGGAGACAGCTATTCAATAGTCTTGTTCCTCAATAACACCTATATTTCTCTCTCTCTCACCCTTACCATCTCTCCAAAAGTAAATTTAAAAATATTTTTTTAAAAAGGCATGGAAACAACCTATGTATTCGTCAATGGATGAATGAATAAACAAAATTATATATGTATATGAATATTATTTAGCCACAGAAAAGAAGGAAATCTTTCCATTTGTGACCACCTGGATGGACATTATGCTAAGTGAAAAAAATAGATCGAAAAAGATCAAATATTCTATGATTTCACTTATACATGGAATCTTAAAAAAAATGGGGTGGGAGGGGAATCCTGAGATCATAGACACAGAGAACAGATTGGTGGTTGCCAGAGGTGGGGATAAAGGTGGGTGAAATGGGTGAATGTGGTCAAAAGTTACAAACTTCCAGTTATAAAATAAACAAGTCATGGGATGTAATGTACAGCATGGTGACTATAGTTAATAATACTGTATTGTATATTTGAAAGTTGCTAAAAGAGTAGATCATAAAAGTTCTCATCAAAGGAAACACTGGGTAACTATGTGTGGTGATGGATATTGACTAGCCTTACTGTGGTGATCATTTTACAATACATATAAATAATGAATCATTATGTTGTAAATCTGAAATTAATAATTTATATCAATTAGACCTCAATTAAAAAATCACAAGATAGCCCTAACCGGTTTGGTTCAGTGGATAGAGCTTCGGCCTGCAGACTGAAGGGTCCCAGGTTCGATTCTGGTCAAGGGCATGTACCTTGGTTGCGGGCACATCCCCAGTAGGGGCATGCAAGAGGCAGCTGATTGATGTTTCTCTCTCATGA